AAAGAAACACACATGTTATAGATAACAATTTCAATAGTAATACACATAATTGAGATTATGTCACATATAAAAAAATTCCACCATAAATAAATGAAAGCAAAAATAACTATCGAATTCATAATTTGATGAGTGAAATTGAATAAAATACATAAATAACAACTGCTTACATGTGAATTTACAAAAATGAGACTTGAAAGAAAATGGAGAAATAACTATTTTCATTTGTTACATTTAAAATATATAAAAATATTATCAATGATACACATAATAAATAAACCTTAATTACATAATATCTATTTGTAATTAAAATTGCTAATAGTATTGGTATTATTTATTTTCCTTTCTTCCATGCTAGGAAATATTTTTTTTTATTTTTTTTTAATTTAGGTTTTGTATTAGGAATTACAAAAAAGTAAAGAAAGAAAATGTATAAATAGAAAAAGAAAAAAATAGAAATGAATAAAGAAAAAGGATAAGGAGTTTTCTTTTTTATTTTTGCATTTACTAATTTTAATAAGATTTTTACTAATGTAATAGATTTTCATTATTGGAATAACAATTTCTAAAAGACATCATTCGATTATTGAGTTGTTTTTAATAGAATTAGAATGATTAATTATATTCATGTTTGACAAATACAATTAATTGATATAAAATATAAAAGTTTCATTATTTATCAATAAAATTTGATGTTTATCACTATATGATAAGCAATATTTAAGTAAAATATTAATAATGAATTGATAATGCTATGCGATTATTTAGTAATAAATTATTAAATAGACACTGATAAAAAAACATAAATATCATAACAAATAAAAGAAAAACCCTCAATTTTTTATAATAATAATTTAAAGTGAAACCCTGACTTTTTATTGTAAATCTAATACCCTATATAGAGATCTAAAATTGTTAACAAATCTACATGTAAAAAGAAAAAATTGACTTCTTTGTCGATTATTGGCCACATTTTACCCAAATATCAATGCCATCTAAAAAAAAGTGAGCCCATTTTTTCAAATAAAAGATCAATGCCAAAAATTATTCAAGCCCAACAATAGACTTCTTCATTTTATATCATATAGAAAACGTATTAACTCAATAAATAAAAATATTATTAGGTTAAATTTCTTAATATACAATAGATATTAGAAAAATGATATGGAAATGTACATAATGGGATCATTTATTTTTGGTACAAAGAGGTCACATCTATTATTGATCATTAGATGTAAAACCAGGTGGTTGGAAATGTGTGAATGACTAGGCCCAACTTTTTTTAAAAAAAATAATGGAGTAGTGTAACATACATCAATCCATTAAATATCACATCCAATAACTAATAATGATTGTGACTTTATTGTACAAAAAGTAAATAGTTTCCAAACATTCAATTTCAAATAACTCGTATGGGCACGTGGAGTTGGGGGGCATGGATTTTGAATATCTTGGATATTACTGAAATCCATCGTTTGATTTGCTCAATGGCCAAGATATTAGAATTTCATGAAAATTAAAAATCTTAGAAATCATTTAACTTTTTTACAATTTCATTTCCACGCCAGAACTTGTTTTTTTTTTAATTTCCAAGCTTCATGGATTTCACTCATTGGCCCCCTCAACCTGAAACATAGGACACATATGGTAAGTATGAAATTTTCAGCAAAAGAAAGTAGCTAAACATTATTAAAGAGAGGATTTTTCTCAACATTTTTTAGAGAAAGAGTCTAAAATTTTAACTTTTAGGTAGAAAAAATATGTTAAAATTTTAGAGAGAAACTGTATGAAATTTTATAGAAAAAAAGTACCTAATTTTTTCAGAGAGATAAACTATCTCAAAATATTTAAAGAGAGAAAATATCTCAAATTTTAAGTTTTAGAGAGAAAAACTATATCAAGTTTTAGAAAGAGAAAATACTTGAAGTTTTTTAGAGAGAGAAATTATTTCAAATTTTAAGTTTTTGAGAGAGAAAATATATTAAAATTTTAGAGATAGAAGTCGCATCAAATCCAAATGTTGGAGAGATAAACTATCTCAAAATTTTTAGAGAGAGAAAAACTATCATATATTTTGCATTTAGAGAGATAAATTATCCTAAAATTTTAGAGAGAGAAACTGTATCAAAATTTACATAGAGAAAGTACTTGAAATTTTTAGATAGTTTCTCTCTCAAATTTTTTGGAGAGAGAAATTGTCTCCAATTTTAATTTTTACATCGAGAAAGAATCTTAAAAATGTAAGGCTTATTAACTATATTAAATTTTCGAGAAAGAAAGTATATAAAAAATTATAGAGAGATAAACTATCTCAACAATTTTAGAGATAAATTATCTCAAACTTTAAGTTTTAGAGCGAGAAAGTATCTAAAATTTTAGAGAGAGCTATATTATATTTTAGAGAGGGAAACTACCTAAACATTTTTAGAGAGAAAAACTATCTCAAAATTATTAGAGAGGGAAACTATCTCAAATTTTAAGGTTTAGAGAGAGAGAGAGAGAGAGAGTATCTTAGAATTTTAAATAGAGAAACTACATTAAATTTTAGAGCGAGAAAGCATCTGATTTTTTTTTTAGTAAGAAATCACTTGAAAAAACTATCACAAAATTTTAAGAGAAACAATTTTAAATTTTGTGTTTTGAAAAGAAAGTATATTAAAGTTTTATGAATAAACCATATCAAATTTTAGATAGAGAAACTATCTCAAATTTTTTAGAGATAAGCTATCCAAAATTTTGAGTTTCAAATAGATAAAACATATTAAAGTTTTAGAGAGATAATATGTATCAAATTTAGTTATCAAATAATGGACTTGGAAATGATGGTAAGGAATCTATGAATTTTGTATTGACACTAAAAATCTATAGATTTGATTGGATTTCAAATATCCAAGATTCCTAATTTACTCTAATTCAAACAAGCCCTAATATTATCTATTTGAGCCCAATTAATGGGAGACTCCCAACAACCGGATTTACATCTAATGACAAATAATGATTCTGACCACTTTTTTCAAAATAAATGGTAGTATTACTTTTGGAAAAAGTTCAGGAAAAATATCTCCATATCCCTTATTTTTAAATTTTATTTTTTAATAAACCCAAGGTTTCAAAAAATAGCTTTGAGCTTCCTGACCACTTTAAGCATAGTTTTTAACCTAAACAAATGTGATAAAGACATGCTCCTTTTAAACCCAATCTTTTCTCTATTTTCATTTATATACCCCAAACTTATCTGTTTCTCTCTTATTATGTGTCTTTCAATCTCTCCTCCCGTGTTTATCCAAATACATCTCTATCTCTTATTGTGTTTATCGAATATGAGAATAGAAGTAAAAAACAAAGGACCTATACAAATAGTAAGCAAATGATGAAAGAAAGGGAGAGATCCAAATGGTGTCAGCTTGAGAGAGATCCAAATGCTGTTAACATGACTTGCAATATGAGACCAAATGTAAAAATCGGAAGAGCTGCACAAATGGTAAGCAGAAGATGATGATGAGATGGATTCAAATGGTGTCAGTTGTAAACCATTTGGGTATGTCAAAAGTTCGAGAAGAAACTGAAGTTCTTATCGACTCACACTTAGAGAGAGAATGGGGAGAGAGGCAACAGCTAGCGAGAGGCCCCCCATATTTGACCATCAAACTTATGAAAACCAAGTATCTACGATGATCGTATAGACCATCTCAACCATCAAATTACTGATTATCATACCATTTTGTAAAAGAACTAATCCAATATTTTCAAATGGTCCCCCATTAATCCATTACAAGTTGTAGAAATACCGCACTCATAAATTTCAACATAAATTGCTTTGAAAATTTATTCAAAATCGTAATGAAAATCGCCAAAAAAATTGTAGGACTCACACCCTAGACCTTCAGAATTACAAGAATGAGCATGATTGCAACACTGATTGCACTTGTTGAGAGATTGAAAATGGCGCCTGAAAACTGAAGCTTCATTGAAGTTATGGGAATTTTCCGTTGATTTTAGAAGGGGTGCCTCGTTTTATTGGTCCTCGTATGGGCCATGGAACACCGTCAATATTGTCTTTGTTGGAGTTTCTCTCTCTAAAACTGGTAGGTTTTTGTTTGGTAGGTTTTTCAGAAACCAAATCTTTGTCGATAGATAGGGGGAGCGAGAGATTCAAGGGGATTTAGACATAAAACCAAAGACATGGATGGAAAGTAGAGGAGGTTTAGAAGGAAGGGAAATGGTTTAGTAAGAAAAAAGGCAGGAGAGAGAGGGATTCAAGCTTGCGTTCTCTTTTTCTCTCTATATATTTAATGTGTATTTGGAGGAGAGAGAGTAAGGGGAGAGAGATGGGAAATATGAAGAGAGAGCAACAGGAGAGAGTGTGAGGGGTTAGAGATGGAAAAGATGAGGAGAAAAAAAGACACGAGGAGAGAGAAAGAAGCTTGAGAGGATAACTTTTAGAAAAGATATGTCTTTTTAAATTTGTTTGACCTAAATAAAACAGATTTAAAGTAGCTTAGGGTTAGAAAAAATAAAATCTACAATTTTTATGCTCCAAGATGTCGGTTAAAACCTTGAATTTATCGTGAAAGAAAACCTAAAAATAGGAGATATAGAGGTATTTTTCTCAAAAGTTTATATAGAGTTGAGGCTCTAAATAATCAAATTGAGGCCCACCTAAAAAATTTCACCACAAGATGTTGTTTTGATGCTCAATTATCTTCAAATTGATCATCTTATTATCAATATTCATAGACGTGAGAAAAAAATAGATTTCAAGTTTTGAAAATAGTGTATATGATATTGCATTTTCGGATAATCAATTTTTAAGATTATCTAATTTTCATAGAATTGTTTAATCTACATTATTTTCCAAACTTTAAATTTTATGATTAGAGATGAAACCACATTTCTCGACACTATTCGACGGTACGCTCTACTTTGATTGTTTAGAGCCTCGGCTCTATACAAACCGCACCCTTTAGTTTTCAGGGACGAATTGCCTAAAGCAATAAATAAATGGCCATTTTAAATTAGGAACCCTGGAAAAACTCCGAAGACCTTTCTCTGCTAAAAAATGGTTGCTTCTCCGTCAAGGTTATTGCAATCCGGGCTTCTTTCCTATTCTAGGGTTAGGATTTTTACTTGGGGTTTCTCTGCTCCTCATGACGTTTCAAAGGTGCCTTTAATGGCGATTTACTCTACTCTAAAAGAACGCAATTTTCATGACGAGCGGCTTAATGCTTATCAAACTGAACAAGTAATGGATCAGGCTTCAAAGGAGCAAGTAATAGAGTCCTCCACCCCAAATGGTACGAAGAAGGGTTGGAGCTTTCTAAAGTTCTGTGTTTTCAGTGCCCTAACTGGTGGTGTGGCTGCTGGTTCGTATGCTACGTATGGTAAGTTGATATAGTTTTGTCACAGTCTAATAGTTTATTTTTTTCAAAGTATAATATGGATTTTTTCAGTTCCATATCATGTTCCTGTTTCTTTGAATTATTTATCTTTTGTATTATCAATTACCGTGACACTTTATGGATGAATTATTTTCTGTTTTTCCTGTAAATCATTGTTATGTTTGCTATTATAAGTTGGATTGAATGTGATAATTGATGAAGAACATATGGCCATAATTCTATTTCCTGTTTCCCCATTCCTCTTTGAATTATTGCAGTGTTTTGTTAGTTTTTGTTCTATTTTATTCTTTTTTTTATTATAACGTGATTTATTGAAGGTTTATGCTGAATTCTTCTATCGCTTGGGATCATCCTTTCTTGGATGGTAATATTGTTTTGGGACATAGAGGTCACAATTAATCTTGACCAGTAGACGTGAAATTGGGCGGCTGCCTTTATTCCGTTGACCAGGCTCAAAGTTCCAAAGAACTTTTTTTTTTTGGAATTTTGCGATGTACCCAAGCTGTTAGATTTCATATCTCTTTGTTGTAGGGGATTGTGGCCTCCTTGTACCAAAGGTAAATGGTTATATGGTATACAAACCCATTTTGTTTTCTAGTTTCATTTTAACCTAAAACTATGACATAATCAATATTTCTCGCTGATGTGGGAGTCATTACTGATATTCAAGCATAGTTGTGATTAAGCTGATTATATGCAGTTAGTTTTTCTCCTTCATTGTTTTACTGTTTTTATTTCTGCGGGTCTGTGGAGTTCCTTAGTGCTGTTGTCCCCCAAGTGATTGATTTGTCCATGTTATGAGAGCTTTATGTTGGCGTCAATTTGATTAAATTGTGGTTTAAGAAGGTTTTCTTTTGTATTTATTTATTTTTCTGCCTGCGTGGCTGAAGTGGGTTTTGTGATCCCTATTGAATATGATGGAGATTTTTGGAAAATTATGATTTTAACCACATATGATGATTTAGTTCTTTTGATTTATCTTCTTATTCAATTGTTCTATTGTTTTCCTCAGTTTTGTTTTGTAGAAAATTAGCACAATGTTGATTTGAGCCAGTGTTTTAAACATGCTGACTCTCTTTTATTTGCCCATTAACCTAACTTGGAAGGTCCATGTTTGGACGTACAATAGAAACTGAGTGTGCATGGACTCAGCTTCCACAATAGTAAGTTCAATGAATATCAAAAGTGGGTTTATGCTTCTTGCTTGAGTTTGCTATTGCCTTTTGCTTTGATATGAAGAAGGTTTAATTTCAACCTCAGATTGTTACAAATTTTCACTTCCTCTGCTATTGCCACACGTAACTTAAAAAGAGGTAGGAACTATATGGAATCCACGAATCCTTTGTCAACTCAACTCCATCTCTGCAGGTTTTTATTGAACTACAAGTGAAATCTGCCATGTTGGTGCTTGATTTTAAGTTTTAGCATGCATAAGTCTCCTGATTGGACATTATAAGCCGTGAATTTTTCTTATCACATTTACTAATCTGTCTTTATGCATTATCTTTTTTGAATATTTTGATTGGTATGCTAGGGTTATGGTGTTTATTCTATTGGTTTTTCCATCACATGTATTTTATTATTTCACTTCGTTGCTTTCTTTTGGTGCAGAAATGAGATACATCTGTCATTTAAAGGCAATCTTGGTTTCTTTGATGTTAGGGGTGTGATTTGTTGAGTTGTTTAAATTGTTATGGTGCTGTTCATAGTATTGAACTTGCTCCTTTCTTGTCAAAAAGGATCATGTGGAGAACTTTATGTTGGTAGTATAAAGTGCAAAAATGAGATATATTTGCTGCAATTTAAAGGAACTCTTGGTTTCTTTGAAGTCTTGCTAAAACGTTTGGGGCGTGGTTTGTTGAGTTGTTTTAATTGTCATGGTGCTGTTCATATTGATGAACTTACTCCTTTTCTTGTCAAGAAGGTTCATGTGGCAAATTTTGTGTTGGTAGTATACAGTAAATGTTATCTTACTGTAGTGATCCAGTGATAAGCTATGTAAACCCGTTTCAACTCATCCAGTACCTTTATTTCATTAATTAGCTAATTGTTTTGCATTGAGCTTTGTTTCATTTTTTTTTGTTTTTTCTGTTTTATCTATCATCAGTTCGTCCTTGTGCTGTCATTATTTTGCTCTAAAGCTCCTAAATATATTTTTAGGTTTCTAACTATGTCTAGGTAGGAACAACAAAAATATTTGGGATCCAGTGATTGAAAGGCTAGTAAAATTTTTTGGGCCATGGAAAGAAATGTTTCTCTCTATAATGGAAGGGTCACATTGATTAATACAACATTGAGTTCCATACGATCTATTATTGCATGGCTCTTTTCCAAGTACCCAGTGCCATGCTGTGGAATTTTTATGGTAGAGATACTCTGACGACTTGGTGAAGTGGGAGGAGTATGCATGCCTAAACAAGTTTAGGGGCTTAGGGTTAAGCGCCTAAAATCCAATATAATTAGTGAAGTTTTGATTGGGAAATGGCATTGGTGCTTTACTACTAGGACAAATCGCAAAGAAATATGATTATCATTTCTAAATATGGGAATGAGCGCAAGGGATGGAGAATCTGCTCTCCTAGCAGAGAACCTAGGATATTTGACCTTGGATGGGTATCATTTTTATGGGCACAACATTTTGGGAAGGGTTCCTAATTAGAGTTTGGAGAGGACACTGAAAATCAAATTGGGAAGATATGTGGTGTGTAGAGACACTCCTTCCTTAGTACATTTGGAATCATACTTGTGCGGGATGCAAAATTTAGATAGTATATTAAAGACGTTAGGATGGATTGATATGGTATCCAATCTCTTGCAACAAGTTAAATGATCGAAAGGAAACATAAAACACTGGGTGGCACCTTGGCAGTTGGGGGGTCTAAGCCGCGTAGGTAGATTATGAAGCATAGGAGGGTGTTATATCCAACTGTTTTAGGGCCAGATTATGTGTAACAACTAAAACATATTGAGACATATAACACATTAAAAATACATAACATATAGTCCATCTATGGTTGATTACTCCATAATCCATACATTTCAGACTATTAGTCCATACTCCATACCATTGTCTATACTAAATAGACTCCATAGACACAATAGAAATAGGAAAATATAATCAAATATACAAAATTTTCAAATCTAGACATCAATTCATCATCAAGAAGAGGAAAGAAATAGCACATAGGACATATCAAATGTCCATAATCCACAATCCATGTACACTCCTCCATACTCCATATCCATAGTCCCTACATACACATAAGAGGACGTAGAGAAAAATGGAAGAAAAGACTCTAAGAAGTTTTCAGTCATCACTAATCAATCATCATAAAAAAAGGTAGGGTCAGCTGCATCATATTCATCGGAGTTGAGCCCATCATCATTGAAATCATCTCCCTCCTAAGCATAATGGCCGTCCTCCTCTGTCTCTTTTGAATCTGCCTCTGCTTCCTCCTCTTCCTCCGTCACCCTCGTCCTTTGTGAAGAAGATCTAGTGGCCCTAAGGGGGTCGACTGCTATCCCTGAGCCTTGATGACTATATCCCATGTCAATCCTTCATGCCCTTTGACCTCATCATCATCAACCAACCACTCCATGGCATTATCCATGTTTTTTGATCTGAGAGGGGTCTCTCAATCTCTCTTAGCAAACTCTCCTTCGAGTATTGATTGAACTTCATATAAACTATATAAACTAGATCCTTGAGCCTCTTTGATTCAAGCTTGTTTCTTTTCTTTGTATGAATCTAGAAACTCAAATGAAACTAATTAATATTACAAATTTATAATTGACAAAGAAATCACTAATTAGTAATTACTAATACAAATTAGTAAAATGTAAACTAATAATTAAATTACCATCTCAAAAGTACTTCAATTCACTCACAGTCGGACAAGGTAGTGGTTAGGCTCTTGATTCGAATGGCCAACTTTTGTAAGTTTGGTGCATTACACCCATGTTGGCACCACCAATTGGCTGCAAATTGATTATAAATTATGATATATATAAAATATAAAAAACAAATAACAAACATGAAACTTGAACCTGAAGATTGGGTTAAGTATATTGTTGCCTGGATGAATTTTGGTCCTTTGTCTCACTGCCATTGGACTCCTAAAAGACTTCAATGTGCGCTTATAACTTATTAGCTCACAATGATTCAAAAAGTGTACCCCCAGCGCCTAGGCGGTCTAGAAGTCTTGAGAGCATCGCCCATGCCTAGGCGGCCAATCTGGGTGGCAGTCCCCGGGTGGCTGCCTAGGTGGTACGGAACTCGCCTAGGCGGGTGCCTAGCGCCCAGCCCAGGGCGGCCGCCTAGGGCTTGCACCCCGCTTAGGTTGTACGGAACCCACCTAGGTGGGTGGGTGCCCACAATATCTCTCACCTTCTTCCCTTTCTGATCCCTGCCCACTTTGCATGCTCTCCAATCATCAGAGGTGAACAGCTGCCTCAACTGGACTCTCCTCCAATGTATGCTATGTAGATATAGGTACCAAGACGCAAATCTCTTGATCTGCACATCATGCTGAAGGTGAGGGTGTGACTATAAATGAAAGCTGTAACTGACTTAGCCTTCTTAACTGCACCTACAATCTATCTCAAACCTCCAATAGCCTCAAGCATGAGGTCTATACAGTGTGCTGCACATGGTGTCCAAAAGATATAAGGGTAGGCTATGTACACCAAATTAGCAGCAATAACATTAGGATCAACATTATCTGTAACAACCTATATAACATGCCACATTAAATATGTAACAGGCATCATGACTATCATCAGAGGCATCAATAGACCTAAAAAACAAGAAAAAGAAGCCGTAAAGGCCAATTCACTAATAAACTCATTCGACTTCTCCTTTTTTTGTCACTCCAAGTATTAGCCATAACAAAAACCTCACATTGAGCCCATGCATCCTTCTGTGACTCCACAATCTCCCTTGTGACATTCACCTCTTTTGTTAAAAGAGGCTCTGGAAGCTGATATGGGGTTGGGGGCTTCAACCCAGGCCCAATTTGGCCAATTGCCACTGCAACGGTGTAGAAGCTGCTTAGGCAAGCAGCATTGAAAGGAATGCTCGCCTCATAAACCACCGATCGATGTCCTGAGTCTCTCTTGCTTCTTGATTTTGTTTTCAAATGGTTGTTTGCTTCTTTATTTCTCAAAACTACAACCTTAGGGTCAGGCCAGAGCAAAAGGGAATCCTTAGGCCCTCTAGGCCTCTTAGGCCCCTCATTCCCAGAATCAATTGCAGCTCCCTTTCCTTTCCCCATCTGGGACATAGTAAGCTTCTCCACCTCATCATACCCTTTCGCATCACTATCATCATCATAATTAACAAGAACCCTAGGCCTTAGCTTTGTAATGCATGTCTCTGTTTCCTCTTTTTTCTTGTTTATTATATTAATATACCTAATCACATCATGAACTTTTTTTCATGGGGCAACACCCCCCCTGATACCAGCGAGATGTTTCTTGAACTGGTTTATACCCCTATTTGTATCCTTCTTACAATAATTGCATCTTATGCAATTTTTATCTAAAGGATTCAGGTTTAGCCTTATTTCCAATGTGGATCAACACTTTTATTAGAACATGAAGAGGACATCTCAAATTAACCTAGGCAATCTTAAAAACAAAAATTTTCACTAACCTTGATTGCTCGATCTTCAAATTTCCACCTTTGAGATGTTTTTGAATCTAAACTGTAAATCCAAACTCAAAGGGAGATTTTTGGATCAATTTATTAAAACTTTGAGAAATCCTTCGTCCTTATAGAAATTACAGAATCTCAACTTTTTGAATTTTTCTTTTTTGGATGGGGTTTAGGTTGCATATGAACCTGAATCCCCCTATCTACAACCTAAAAATTAAAAAACAAATCCCAAAATGCCGCTCCATGAGGGGAATTTTTCGCTGCTGGGTAGAGCACAGGCCTTGGGCAGCTTCTAAGGGTTGGGTGTCAGCGGTAGGCACCCATGGGCCTAGGCGGCTGCCCAGGGAGCCCGCCTAGGCCTGGTGATGTGCCTAGGACCCCTTTGTCCTCCTAGGCGACCACCTAGGCACTAAGCGGGCTGCTTTTTTAATCATTGCTTTATGTATCCATCGAACTGACCTTGACAAACTTGTACACGCTGCTTGGAGGGGTGCTTTCTCAGTGAAATCATGTACCAAATGTTATTTTGGGGATTTGGTTCCAATTACAATCACCCGAATCGTGTACTGAGGTCGGGATTCCGTGGTTCCCAGGATGAAACGCGATTTTGGAAGAGAGGAATCATGTTTTCAAGTTCCTTGAAACGCATTTGAGGTTATTATTAGAATCTCTATTCTAGGAAGCTTGGAATCAAGATTCCATCCTGCAGAATTTGCGATTCATAGTTGCACAACAATGTGATTTAGTGTGTGCGAGAAATTGATTCCAATTTTTTAGGAATCCCGAATCTATGTTCTTTGGAAGCTAGATCTATATCGTCACTAGACGCAGTTTGTAAATGCACCAAACATTGTTTCGATCAACATCAAATCAAGTTTTAATGACACAAAATCAAGATTCAATCTCAAATGTTGAATGAAATACGTTCATAAATTGCATGTTGCCGGAGGAGCTCCAAGAGCCCATTCTATGTTACCAGAGGAGTTCCAGGAACCCTTGCGTATTATATTACATTTTTATACAAGGTTGTTACCCATTATCTAGGTTTCGGGACTATGATGTTGTGAGAGCCAAAAAACCTTAATAAACTTTTGAGATGAATCCATGTACAGTAATCTCTGCCAAGTTACCCAATAGATTTATCAATCTATAAATCATGTGGTCGGTGGCAGCCCCACCTCATGGTAAGACGTTCTTATTGGATGCTTGCAATAACCAAATGCTTATTATTGATGCTCATTAAAAGAATTGTTACTTCAAACTTAATAATGTTTGATAATGATGGTACTAAGATATCCTATGGGCTGTTTTGGGTCAAATTCATCCTTAAATTGGAGAAATTCAATTAAAATCAAATTACTACTTTTAAAAGCTACATTTAATAGAGATTGAGAATTTTTATTTCGCTTTATTGCTGTTATAAACTCCAAGAAAGGATATAAAGGGAGCTCGACCTTGTTGCGTGGAGAGATATGTTAAAGGGCTCTTGGTAGCTTGAGTCCATTGCTTGGCAGTGGTGACAAAAATATCGATCCACATAATATGGTTGCCCTTGGTAATTGTCTTAGATTTCAAGCTTGTAAAAAATGTAAAAATTTAAATCTTTCCTCGCAAAATACTTCTCTCGTTTACCGGAGGGGATTGGCGTGTGATTCCTTAATTATTTGGCGCGTGATTCTTGAATTATGGGAATTTTGAATCCAAGTCGTTGGGGCAATGATTCTAGTAATGTAGAAATTACGATTCCTATTTCATCGGATTGCTATTCGAGAAGCCATTAAATGGTGTGGGGTCATGTGCGATTCCTGAAAGGAAGGAAACTCAATTCCTACATGATGAAATATCGATTCCTACATCTAGGAATCTTGATTCGTATTTTATTGGATTGCAATTCCAATTATTGAGAATCATACCTTCGATAATTTTCATTGTATTGTGGCGATTTCGAGATTAGGAATCATTTGGCACACACGATTCGGATTCCTGAAGTGAATCGGAATCACAGGCATTTCCAACAACTATAGTCCCAATCTAGGGGTTATATGGTTTGGGATACCCCTAGTAACCCTAGATTGTTATGATATGGCCTAATGCTGGCTAGATGTGTTAGACAAAGCTCCAACCCTGTACCACTTACAACATAGAGTGCACAATTACCTAATGTTTTTCTAATGTGCCATGCTGCAGAAGAAAGGGTAGACCACTTGTTCTTGCATTGCCCTTTTGCTAGGATGATCTGACCAAACATGCTAAAGAGAAATCTCTTTGGGATACCTCGGGGTCCGTCCTAAATCAATTTGGGGTTTGTTCTTCAGTTGACATCCCGATAGAAGGCCATTATTTTCTGGAAGCTTACTTTTCCTGCTATCCTTTGTGTATTTGATCTGAATGAAACAAGTGAATCCATGAGGAAAAGTATCCAAAGCTAGATCTACGGTTACGAGATTACAGGGTGTGATAATGTATTGGCTAGTAAAGAATTTGGGGTTTACAAGTAGTGGATCTGGTAAGAAGATCGAAGGTGGTGATGGGTGCTAGAAAACCCTGTCCATATCTTATGGAGTAAGCCACCATTAGAAATGCTCAAGCTTAATTTTATGGGAGCTCCATCTGTAATCCAGGTCCATCAGCTCTTTGGGGAGTTATTATAGACCATGTTTAGTTGCAATGAATATAGAGGTCCAATGGGCTGAGCATTGGGCCTCACCTGGGTGCAACATCTTTTTCAGATCTTTCACAGATCCTCTTCATGTGCTAGGAGATTCTTTTAACATTATTCGATGGGCTGAGAGGGAGGTGAACCCCCATGGAGATTATCCAACATCATGGATGAAGTACATGGATATTTTCAAAATAAGCTAGGTACTTTTCAGCATATCCCACGATAGGAGTACCCTCTTTGTAGGACCGTGCCTCCCAGATCCTTCATGATGCATTGGTGTTTTGGTTTTCTTTCCCTAACTGTATACATCTCAGTTTGTATGCCCCTGGGCAGCTTTGATTTAGCAGCTTCCTCTTGTAACAATAATAAAAGGAAAAAGAAACATTTCTTAGTTGGTTATGGCACCCTTTCAATTTATTTGATAAGTTTATACTTTTTCTTTTCGCATGCGACTTTGGTTCAGTTGTCTATGTACTAAAAAAATTTATTTACAATCACAGCATATTCTCTGGAGGAAGTGGAGCAAAAGACAGCTGCGCTACGGAATCCAACAAATTACACTGTCGATGGTGATGGTTCGATCTTCGATGTGAGTGGAATGAAAGTTGTTGTTATTTGTGGAAAAATATTTCTTTAATTAGAATTAAAACTATTTTTCTGCTTGAATTGAAATAAAAGCTAGTTTATGCTTCTGCTTTTTTGCAGAGTACATTGTTTGCATTCTTGTCTTGGCATGCCCTTGCGGGATATAATTCTCCATGTAGGGTGTGATTTCTAGATGAAGATTAACCTTACCTAATTATTATATTTTGATATGAAGATAAACAGCTTGTTATAGTAATACAATGTTAACATTATCAAAAAAAAAAAAGAAAAAAAGATAAGCAGCTTGTTAACCTAAATTCCCTTTTGATAAGTAAAAGAAGGTGAACTTAACTTGCATCACTTACATGGATCAATAAAAACATGGATTTCATCACATAATTAGCTTGTGTCGCTTTGGTTCAATGTATGTTAGCTTGCATTCCTTCATCCAAATTTTGGGGTTTCTACATTTTGTGCCAAAATGCAACTGGTGAATAACATTCTGATTTGCAAGCGAATATGTTCTTTTGCACCCATTAAAGGTGTTGCGGATTTGGGAAAGATCTTTTTATGACTGCTCAAATTTCATATGAGGATCTCTCTCACTCTCTCTCTCTCTCTCACTCACACACCCACACCCACACCCACACCCACACACAAAACAACACAAGTGTGGGCATGGATGCTTTTATAAACATGCACTAATATGTGTGCACAGATGTGCATAATTGTACACAACTTGTAAGGAGTTTTTTCATTCTAGGTGCTTGTCTGACATTTCATGTTTTTCATTCATCTCATGCTACTAGGTTGGGGATGAGAAGAACATAACTATATGAGAGTGGAGAAGGGAGAGGTCGTTCTTTGAAATAGGGCATGAGAGGACAATTTAGCCTTGATTTGTAGCCAGGGCAAAATGTTGGTATGGGGATGTTATGGAAGTGATTGGCATGCCTTGATAATTTTTTGGTTGGTGTTTATCATCGAGAGAAGCAATATATGAAAATTAGATTGACTCAAAATAAGGGTGAGGATTGTAAACTTTCCTTTAACTTGTCCTAAGCTTGGGTAAAGGAAGGTTGCATTAGGTAGGCAGCCAACATTAAACTTTGCCACATTTTATCATGAATCTTGAATCTTACTGATGATATGACCATTGGTAGATAAGAGTTTTGAGGAACTGGATTCATGTAGTTGACCCAAAATAATTGGGATAATGCTTGAATGATGATGATGACGACATTTGGTTCCACATAATATACATTTGATGCATTTGATAAGGGTGAGGACTGTAAACTTTCCCTTAACCCGTCTCAAGTTTGGGTAAAAGAGGGTTGTATTAGGTACGCAGCCAACAGTAAACTTTGCTACATTTTATAATGAATCTTTAATGTTACTGATGCTATGGCTGTTGGTAGAGAAGAGTTTTGATGAACTAGATTCATGTAGCTGATCCCAAATAGTTGGGATAAGGCTTGGATGATGATGATGATGACATTTTGTTCCACATAATATACATTTGTCATCCGAATCTGCCCATCTAACACAGAAATGTTATCTATATGGCCTGAAAACTTCACTGAAAAATGATCAATTAGGTATATGTACATGTTTTATAAAGCTCTATGCTCGGTAACAAAACTTTCATCCCCCCACCCACTACCCGAAGAAAAAGACACCAAATAAAAATCATTCATACTCGCATAAAAACCAGCAAGAAATGTCAGTATAATCCACATTTTCACTGTTACCCAAATGAGCCATGTCCCCACATCATTTAGCTCCTTATTTAAAATCACCTGAATCGATTGGCCTGATTTTTTTAAAAAAGGGTGATTCTTTATACTGAATTACCTTATTTTTTATATAAAGGTTGGGAAACACTTGATCCGCAAGGATCTTGCAATTCCTTGAAATTCAGTTATTGGGGATTTTTCCCCCTTTTGAGCCCCTATCGCCAACTTACCTATACTCTCTTATATTTCATTTGTTTTATCTCCAAATTTGGTGCATTTTGATTATTTCTCATTGCTCTATAGGATTATTATAAAAAAGTTTTGGATCAAAACCCCCAAATCACTGAAATCAAACGATCAGCATATGGGAGTTCTTTGCCTTTTTGTACACCCCTTTTTTTATTTATTTTGGGTCAAAGTCTTGATTTTTGATTTTGAAATCAAATGAATCAGAAGAGAGGGGAAGAAGAACACCTTCTTTGTCAAAGGTGACATTTTGGTGAAACTTTTGGGCAGATTTGAAATCTACCTCTTCTTTGGCTGATTTTTTGGCATATTTCAAAAACAGAAAACAGATTCCGATGTATTTGATTGGAATCTGTTCCAAAATCAAATGTTTTAAATATGTTTTGATTCAAAAGGACATTCAAACTTATTCAAATAATTCTAATTTAGATCTGATTAAACCGTCTGAAGAACAAAATTAAATTTAAACTATCAGGGATTTGAATTATGAATTTTCAATTTGTTTTTTCTTGAGTTTTCTTCAATCTGACTTAACTCTAATTAATTCGATTTAAATCTAATTAAATTGATCTCTTTTCTTATTTAAACAATCTTGTTTGGGATTCATGTAAATATGATTCTTCAGTATCAGATGAAAAATTGTTTAAATCTGATTTAAGCAATTATTTAAATATCGAACAATCGTTCTAAGCATGGAAGCTTTAAAATCTGTTTTTTTTTAACTTTTTTTTTTGCCGAATGAATTAACTTTTTTTTTTGCCGAATGAAGCCAACTCTCCCAAGCCAGATTGGAACACTGATCTGACTTGGTACAGTGGGGGACTGAGCCGTTCCTGCCTTGGGGTTTTTGAGTACTGATCCTAACCATCTGAAAAATCCGCACTTTCAATTACTTCCTCTCCTTTATTTCTTCTCCCTTAGGGGATGATTGGTTCTCCTTAAAACACTACAAGGTCCCTTGTTGCTCATATCCTTTCCCATGCTATACCAAACCAATAGACTTTTGCATTCTCAGAGGGCGTAAATTTCTTGTAAGGAGTAGGTAGTCTTTCATAGGAAATTTTGATGGAGTAACTTATTTAAAATTTAGATAAACCTGATAGAGGGTGCCACTCATGACTCTCTTTTGTTTGATTTTCGTAGCTTCCTTATGATGACCATGTGGTTTGGCTTCCTCCGATAGACTAGTCCCCAATAAAGAGTCCAACCTATGTCCTACCCTATCTTCTTAAATACTAGTTACCCTTAAGAATCCTAGAAGACCAAAAGGATCTGGTCATCCAGTGAATTGGTCAATGCAGCTAAACTCCTTTTGCTATCACTATTAAATATATAAGAGCAGGGCTCTCCACAGTTCCCCCAGCCCTTTCTAGGAGTAGCCTTCTATTTTTGGCCTCAATGGTTGGTACTCTTTCCAGTATTTATACGCTTCTTTTGTTGTCCCCTGGGATCACAATTATGTTAATTTCTGCCTCTTTAAGTGGAATTTCATTGAATGCCATTCAGATTAGATGTGTCTCCATAATTTTAGACTTGGCCAAACATCTGGAGACTTATTCAAATTGACTTGCCGTTGGGACTCAATTGAGTCAAGCCCATTATCTAGGGTAATTGTGGCCATTAAAGGCCTTATAAGAGAATGTAATCAATATATTGATATCGTGGAACAAACAACTCCAGTGGGAATACGGTTCGGTAGGACCAAGATTGGCAAATGATGTTTGCCGAGATTCTGACTAGGCTTAACAAGTTAAGTCAGTCGAATTACAAAACCCTAAATACCTGGCCATAGAGTACAATCGATGAGGGTCAATAGAGTTATCCCTTGATGAGGTTGAAGTTGCTCAGGGTAGTGAACTGAGGGACTGCGTGACCCTTGTTTGTGATGGTAGGCCTGTAGGGATGAGGGCCAAAGCCTCATTTTGAACCGTCACATATGATAGCTATATCAGGAAAGCAAATCACTATCGAGGGTGATACGTGTACATGTGCAAGAGATGACCCCCGTATGCATCATAGAGTTGCGTGTGCACCAAGTCTTTTACCTTGAACTTGTCCCTAAGGCAGAACCTGTAATCCATAGACTAGAATTATGACCACTCACTTATTGACTGACTTTTGTAGTTCAATCCTGAACCCCTGTGATGGACTGTGGGAACTGCTGGGTCAATTTGAGAAAGTGAGTGTGGATTATAATCCATAGTAGAAGATGGAGTGCTTCAACAAAATTAATATTCCTTACCATAGTTGGATTCAAATCCCATCAAATTAATTTAGAATTAATTAATTTAATCTTAAATGATTTTTGGATTAATAAAATAAATTTTTAGAAGTCTTTGGATATTTTATTTTCTCAAAATGGATTATAAATAGTGAAAACTGAACTTTTAGTATATTAAATATTCAGAGAGAAAAATAAACTAATTACCTTTTTCTAAAAATCATTTTATGTGTTTTATAAATAATAAAATATACAGGGGCCCATCATGAGCTATGGGGCACACCATAATATGCATGTGGGAATTTGCGCGGGGCCCACATATGGACCCCAAAAGTGGCATGCCTCAGTGCAATTTGTTTCCTATTTTGTGTTGAGGCCATCGAGGCACTCAATCAAGTTGAAGCAAAATAAGAAGGTTTTGAAAATTAAGGAGATTTGATTTTCAAAGAAAGCACGTGTAAGAGATTTATGGAAGAGATAAGAAAGAGTAATATGTTTTCCGTATTAATTTTATTTGACGGGATTAGGTTAAGGAAGTTGAAGGGTAAGGTTCTAGCACTTTTCTTTTAATCATGATGACTGATCTAAGGATTGTAAGGCTAAAATTTCTCACCCCACATGTATCCTTCGATCAATGTTCTGGATCTATTCTTCATAAGGATGACTAACCCTTAGAAACCTTAACCCTAGAGAAAGTCTATAAATAGCCTCAATGGGGAACCCTTTTCTCTACACATTACATCTATTTCTCTCTCCCTCACAAGGTGGCATGCCACCCTCTCTCTCTAACCTCCAAAGATAGAAAATAATATTTTAAAAGAGAAAAGAGGGCCACGCCCCAAATCCTAGGAGTTTAAGAAAGGGGCAATCCCCAAGCTTAAGCATGGACACCTAGTCTTGAACTAGTTCCACCATTGTTATCAAATTTGAAAAGGGTTGATAGCCTAAGGTTTCCCATACTTTGAAGATCTGAGATAGACCTCGATCCCGGGCGCCATTGGGGGAGAAGAATTGGAGTGGGGTATGCAAAGTCCAGTTCAGGTAATCTTCTGGCAGTTTACTTTATGCTTTGTAGTCTTTTTGTTATCTTGTTCCCAAGAGTCTTATGTTATTTTTTATTTTTGAATAAAAGAGTTTTTATTAGTGGCAACAAGTGAGAGCCTCTTTTGTCATTCTTTGTTATTTATTTTGAGTTTATTTTATTGTATTTGGACCTCTGTAACTATTCTAGCTGGTAGAATAGACAAAAATTAAAAACCGCATATACAGTGCTGGTTCACCCTGTCCAACTTTCATATTATCTATTGAAGCTGACTCTGATCAGGCTAGTCTAATCCCTCACAGGTCTTAACTCATCTTTGGCATCACCGATTGTGCTCATAAGTCATGGAATGTGAGTTAGTATAACCCACTACATATATGAGCCTGTGCTTTGAAATCAAGATCATAAGATGGTGATGTTAAGCTTGAAAAAGAAGAAAGATTGGTGGTGTTATTTTACTAAGTTATTTGTGTTTGAAACATCAATGAAGTTTATATACTTTATATAAAATTTAAAGAAAAATAAAGATAATGTATATGGGTGGTTGATCACCGTGAGTCTTTAAACGGATTTTATGGGTTCACAAGCAAACTTTTCACAGCGGTAGACTTTTTCACCGTGGTAGACCTTCTCATCGCGGTGGACAAGTCTTCACCGTAAATGATTTTTTCACCACAGTGAACAAGCTCACCGCAAAATTTTGCAACTATGAGCTTACTTTTCTTTTGCTCATGTGGCCTAGCCACTTTCATACATAGTATTTTGTTTGTCTTTAACTATTCTCTTCGCTTTTATATTTTTATATTGTTTTGGAGCCTCATTTCTCCTCAAAGAAGGGCTTGGTGACACGTCACATTTATGTGGTCTTCTAGTATTTAATGTGTCCTTTAACCTGCACATTTCATGTCCTCTTTTCACACATCAACTAATTATGATAATTACATAATTTATTTTAAAGATTTCTCAAAAAACTAAAATAAAAATTTATATATAAAGGAGTGAGTATGAGGAAAGAAAAAGTTAAATAAATGATTTCTTCTCTTTGTATTTTGGAGCCTCCTTTCTCCTTAGAGAAGGTCTTGGTGACACATCACATTTATGTGGCCTTCTAGTATTTAATGTGTCCCTTAACCTGCACATTTCATGGCCTCTTTTCACACATCACCTAATTATGATAATTAAATAATTTATTTTATATATAAAGGCCTCCTTTCACACATCACCTATTTATGATAATAAAAAAGTTAAAAAAAATGATTTCTTCTCCTTGAAATTTCTTTAAGCCTTACTAGTAGGAAACAAGGACTTCAAGGAATCGATCTCTAAGATCTGAAAATTCTCTTTTGACATGTGTAGTGTCAAATTGAGGTCTATTGACCGCAAAATCAATTTGACAATAAGACCAGTAAACAACTGTGATTTTAAAGATATTGAAGAGTTCAGCTAAAAGTTCATTCGATTCATTTTAGTCGGGGCGGTTGTGTCCTGGGAGTCAGCTTGTTGGCACTAAATTGTATCTTGGAATTTTCCGAGTCCCGGCATTTTAGTTTCTTGGACCTCCCCTAATAAATTCTGGTTTGTATCTGGTGGAGCATTTATGGTTAAAATATGGAAAAAGATCATTGGGGATCGTATGCAAAAACTGACTTTATCAACCATTATATATATATATATAGGTCAGTACTAACTCTTCGATTTGTGAAATCTGCTTTTTAGTGCTTGTGCACATGATGATTACTACCTTGTTGGGGTACTTTTTTTGAACAATTAGTTGTGTTGCTGATTTGAATATTTGAGATGTTCTGGTTTTACTTTTGAAAGAACAGAAGTTTCATTTAAATATTTGAAGATCATCGGTCTACTTAAACAACTGTTGTAGCATGTCATTTCTAATCACCTTTTTTTGTCCATTTTTTTTCTTTATTTTTGTTTTGATTGCTTCGTGTAGCCAACTCCAATTAGTTGGTTAAAGGCTTTGATGATGATGATGATGATTTTTGTTTTGAACGCAGCTTTGGAACTTACCTTATTATTGTACAATTTCAATTATTTGTTATCTTTTTCAAACTGTATGAAGTTGGTAATACAATAAATGCATGATTGCATAAGGATGCTTATGGATTCTCCCTCAATTCTTTAAAGGAATGGCCTGTTCGCCAGAATATGTTAAATACTTATATAATGTCATTATCATATTATCTTGTTTATAGTTGAGAATGATTGAATGTGTTTCATCTTCCTTTAGTAAAACATATGCGACAATGTTAATTGTTTTACCCAATTGTTTAAAAAGCGGATCGGTGACCCAGATTGGACACCTCAAAAACCGATCCGGATCCACGAATCGACGATCCGGATCGGGAATCGGTTGGATTAAAGCTTCAAAAAAATCCGAAAAAATTATTAAAATTCATTATAAATGTTGTTTTTAGGAATCCAATAAAAAATGAGGGTACTACATTATTAACTTTCATTTTTTTCATCAATTTGTGAATATTGAGATGCTCTTTTCCTGTATAAACTTAAGTATTAAATTTGTATCACATAAAAAAAAAATCATAGAATTGTCATGGATAAAATATAATTATACAACCCTAATCCGCTAAAAAAACCCAAATTATTACAACCAAACTAACTATAATCCAAAATTATTACAACTTAACTAATTATAATATTATATACTGAAATTATAATTATTAGTTTACATTTTATAATTATTTTATTGGACAAATAATAACAAATTAAAAATATTTTATAATATTATCTAATTTAAAATGTATTATTGAAAACTGTAAAAAAAATAGTACATTACATGATTTATAATGTAAAAATTAATAAATAAAATAAAAGATTTGGTTATCAATGTAAAAATTAATAAAACGCATACAAATTTTGGAAATAACACTTCAATTTTTCAAAAATTTAATTTTTTAGGTTTCTATAATAAATTTAGTGAAAGAGATTATTAGTAGAAAGAGGGAGATTTCAAATAGAATAAACTTCTTATTTTTTATTTTTATGCCTTTCATACTATTTACAAAAATAATTATACCACTATATACAACAAAAATTAACTGCTATACAAAAAATTAACGCTTTTTTTTTTCATTTTTTTATGCCTTTTATATTATTTACAAAAATATTTATACCACTATATACAACAAAAACTACTATACAACATACATACAACAAAAACTACAAAATATACAACAAAAACTACTATACAACATATATACAACAAAAACTACAAACTGTAACGCCCAAGGGGATTCGACCTTGGGACATCAAAGCCAAAAACAGAAGTCATAACATCACGCCGTCTCACTGGATGTGATTATTAGTTGCTGATTAATGGAATATATTTACATTCTTTTTACATTTTATGATGTTTTGGGAATTATCCCACATCGAAGGATGGGTATTCAACTTTGCTTTATAAATACCTATGTAATATGAAGTAAGGTATACGTGCGGAATATAGGGCAACTTCACACGTGGTATGTGGCACGTGTCCGCTTGTCGCACGTGTCCGTTTGTCGCACGTGTTCGCGTGTCTGTGTCGGAGTGGTGACGTCAGAACCTCCGGTTGATGATGTCATCGGGCGGTTTACTGTTTAAAACCCCCCGGTTCTCTCTAGACACGGGCGGTTCCCGTTTTATGTGTGGAACCGGCTTGTTCTGTGGCGATTCCCGAGTTGAACCGGGAGAGTCCGGCTCAACTCGGCGTTTTTTTAAACCCTGGTTTTATCAATTTCACTTTTTTGATATTTAACCCTCGTCAACTTTTTATCAATTTTCATTACATTGTTTTTTTGTTTTTTCTTCATATATCATATTTTACTTTTAACAACATAGATGGAAGTGAGCATATGAAGAGTTTGCACTTCCTTTGAACAGAAAATGCAGGCGTCCTTGTACAATGCAGTTGTGACAGGTGAATATCAATTTGATTTTGTTTTTCGCTATAATACACTCTTTATCTGTATCATTTCCAGTAACTTTACTTTCTCTTCTACATGGTTTGCTTTACAGTGCCTGCCAAATCTATACAACTGTACTTGGATCTCAGGAAGTCCATTGAAGACCATGTTAAGGTTAGCAGTACTGGTTTTTCTGTTCTGTTTTTCTTCGTTTATGTTTTTGCTTTTATGTACATGCAGAAAATTGTGTGCATATCATCTGACTGCAAGTAGGTGTTCTGCAATAGGGATTTACTGAACCATCATCAGAGAAGTTACTTCCAGATATATTACCTATTGATCAACATAAGTTCACTTTGGTATTGGACCTTAATGAGACATTAGTATACTCTGATTGGAAGGTGAGCATAATTTTTATATGAACTTCAAATCCCATGGCTCTTAAACATATGAAATCTATTGCAATTTGATCTACTGTATATTCACTAAATTGCAGTTCTTATTATTTCCATAGTATGGGTTACTTAGGACCTAATTATATGTTCCGCTACAAACAAAAGTATTGAATCCTTGTTTTATAGCGTGAAAGGGGCTGGAGGACATTTAAAAGACCTGGAGTAGATGATTTCTTAGAGCACCTTGCTCCGTACTATGAGATAGTTGTGTATTCTGATCAGCAAAGTGTGGTAATGTACTAACGACCATTTATTTTTCCTATGTCGCTCCCAAAATCTTTATGGTTTTCATGATTTGAGTTGTTCTATTATTATCTGTTGTGTATTCTAATTTTATATTTCTCTCCGTCTTGCAGTATGTTGACCCTATCATTTCGAGGCTTGATCAAAAGGGTCTTATAAGATACAGGCTTTCAAGAGCAGAGACCAAATATGTCGATGGAAAGCATTACAGAGTATGTCATGATCTATCTGATAAACCATTTTCAGTTTGCAGCAAATAATAACCTTAGGTGCAACTTTGTACTAAATTACCCTTGCCATATATGGTATGTAAACTCGGGGACTGGGTAAAATGGTCACTTTAAAAGGAAATTGAGGTATTGTGGTACTTTCGTGACATTTCACATGCAGGTAATCTATAGAACTGTCCTGGTATTTTTCTGTGTTCAACGATGATGCAATCCTCGACAACTTATGAGTTGTAATTCACATGAGATCCTGTGATTTTTGACTTTGGTGATAGCACCACCACAATTTTGCATTAGAAGTTCATTATTGGATTTGTTCGTGACCGTTCTGTTTTCATGTGCATTTAAAGTATTTGTGGAAAAATTATGTTTTTTTTGTTCTATTTGATACTTTTAGGACTTTTGTAAGTTGAATAGAGATCCTTCACGAGTGCTATATGTTAGTGGGCATGCATTGGAGAACAGTCTGCAACCTGAAAATTGCGTGCCTATCAAGCCATGGAAGCTTGAATCAGATGATACACAACTTTTGGATCTTATACCTTTTCTTGAATGTAAGTTCAACCTTTATGTGTTTTCCCTAATGTGCATGTGAACATTATTAATGTCATAGTCTTGTAATGTATATATGTTTGTTCATTGAAGATGTTGGGAGCCATAAACCAGCTGATATAAGGACTGTTCTTCAAACATATCAAGGTTGTGATGTTGCGAAAGAATTTCTCGAGCGTCGCAGAAAGCATCAAAGGTGTGTTTTATTCTCTCCTCGTGTGACTACAAGTTAAAATTCTATGTTTTATTGTAGGTTGTCAGGTACAACCTATTCCTACTAGATATGTTTTGGTTAAGGCTTTGCTTTTTTTTTTTCAATGGAAGATACAAAGTTACTACAACTTTTGTGGTGTTCCCCATAGTTTAACTTGTCCAAAGTTAGAGTGGAGTCCTACATGGCAGCAGTTGTTGTCACTAGGGCAAACACACAGCAACATCTTTCAGAGTATAAAAGAATAAGCTTTTGGCGATTTTCCACCAAGGGAATATCTCTAATACTCAAAAATTTGCCTTGCTTCCCCTTGATCTTTGTGATTTCAGTCTTATTTATTCATTTTCTTGATTTTTTCTGCGTTGCTGTGTTCTTTCTTCTCCGAAAGAAATGCAGGGAGTCGGGGATGCAAGGGTGGGTAAAAGATGCTTAATTTTCCCAAGAGTCTTCTTGGAGCTCTTTTGAGCTCTTTTGCATAGCCTTGGAAGCATTAATCCACATTGCCTGTTTTTGATAGACAACTTGGGTTATGTTTTTTATTTTCGTGTGATTGACACTTGTTTCATTTTCTTATCCTTTGGTTTCAATCTATCTCCAAGTTTCTCATAGCTTGGTTCAACACCATTTTGGGGCATACATGCTTTAAACTTTACAAACTATGAATCCTTAGCTCTCTCTCTCTTCCCGCATACATATAGGGATGTACACCATGTGGATGGTTGCATGCATGATTTCTTCTATGTCCATGTGTGTACAATGCATAATGCTCTAGGCATATGCAAGGAACAATGTTCTGATTGCATAAACGTCAAAACTTATCATGAAGCCGATTTATGCAGGAGGTGGTCTGAGCAGAAGGTGCAGGGTGGCTTTTGGAAATGGGGAAGTTAAACTAATGGGATGTTTCTACGTTTGAAAATCATGTATGAAGCAAAATGGACTTTGCAGATTTATGAGCAGTTTGTTTGTGTGACAAACAAAGCTTCTACTCTTCCACCGAGGAGCCGTTCGCAACGAGAAGCAAGGGATGTCGTGAACGGTGGGAGGTCAGAGAATTTACCTATTGATAGAATTCTCCTATGGTCAATATCAAATCTTTCCTTCTTTCGAAAGAAAAACATATACCTATGCTATATCTTCTGGAGATACATCGATCTAAATCTCTTGATTCATTGGTAAATGTGGTCCAGTCTATCCTTTGTCATTCAATAGGGTCTACCGTAACTCTCGGGCAATTTCATTCCACTCATCGGAGTGTTATTGTTTCATAAGGTACTAAGGGATCACATGTAGGTCGGGATTTCTATTCATGTTCCATGAAGGCTTGTATTTCGATGCTTAGCCTTGAAGGTGTAGATGTTGTTTTTTTCTTTTTTCATTATTATTTTCCTTTGACTGCTTTTTCGAGCATGAATGTTTGTTGGTGCCTTTTGTCCTTTTTTCCGTTCCTTTTTTTGGGGGAAGTTGGTTGGGAGGAGTTGGGGAAATGGTGTTGATGGAACCTATTGATCTTATGTTTGAATTCGTTGTGTAACTGATATTTGAAATTTTGGTACGTTTGTTCCAATATGGAAAAAAATTGAGAAGCATGGAACTGAATCGTAAGAGTGACATTCACATACACATTAAAAGGTTTATTGCATTGTGTGATTTACACTACATTTGGTTTGAACGGAGAAATAAACTTTTGTCAATCATCTAAAAACATGCGGGGATCATTAGTGGTGGCAAAAGGTTGGGTTGGGGTTGGGTCGAGCTGGACTCGGACTCGTCCTGACTAGGCTTTACATGGACCCAGGCCCAGACTTGACTGCCGGGTCCAAAATATGGACATGGACCTAGACCTGACTCAGGTTGACTTGCCGACCCCACCGGGTTGCCACCTTGGATCATCTCTGTGTGTTTTGTATGGAGTACTCGCTTTGGAAGAGAATAAACCTTTAACCAGAGGATTTTGATGAGACATGAACACTTTCGTCATAAATGTCGTCATGCACATTTATGCTCGGTAATCTTTGCCCTTTTTTTTTTTTTGGGTATCTTCGGTTCATTATAGTTGTGTTGTTGTTTATTCTTATCCATTAATAGCAGTTCCTGATGAGATGAATGCCCATCTACAGTTATTTCGTGATAATTTCCTTAAAAACAATTGTTTCTTGTGCGTTGGACTGTATTTCTACAATATGCAGTTTAAGAAGGAGCTACGTCCTCTTTGGAAACTGATATCTAGTTGGCTGCAAATTATGGATATGGTGTTCACTCTCAGTTTCGTTTTGTCATGTTTATCATGAGGCAAATTCTTTAGCTCACTCTCTTGTTAAAAGAGGGGTTTCATTGTCTGCTCTCGTTATTTCTTATGATGTAATTTATTTTGAGTAGATTTAAGAAATATTTGTCAAAAAAAAAACACCTTTTAGGAAATTTTTTGAAGTGGGCTCTAATTTGATTGTTTAGAGCCTCGGCTCTACGTATACTTTTTCCCTCTTAAAATACCCTGTCAAGTTCCAAATTGGGGCCTTCATTGTTCTTTTAATGCCCTGTCAAGTTCCAAACTGGGATTGGCTAGAAATTTGGAGTTTCAAACCAAAATTTTCACATGTTTAAGGTAGCTATTCTAATGCAACATTGACGGACCACATTGTAAACTTAATCTCCTTAATAAAAGACATTTTTATATACAAATTTAAGAATATTCAATTTATACGAAGGAATAAGTGTATTGTGTGGTCCGTTCGAATTTCCGATATAATAGAATTGATGATAGTTTATTTTCTCTAGTTTGGATGAGAGAACAGGACGGTTGTGGGTGTGTGGGTCTCCCTGGTTCAGCCAGGAGCGAGAGAGAGAGAGAAAGAGGGTCTCCGTTGGGAAGTACATAGGGGTGACAGTTGACATTGTTTTTTTTTCATAAAAGTTGTTGGGCAACTATCATCCCAATCTTGAGATTGAGAATCAGATCTAACAGTGATCCATAGAAATCCTATGCCTTTGAGATGTGGCAGGGTCCTATAGGATCATTATTCTATAACTTATAATTGCATTTTTCAAGCTTTATGTGAAATTGGTAGAACCTTGAATGCTAATAAAATTAGAATTTTAACATCGAAGAAAGGTCTGAAATCATATGCTGATACATTTGATATATTAGTTATGAGTTTCCTAGATAAGGCAATGCCAAAGAAAGAAAAAGTGTTATTGATGAGATGCTAGATATAAAATTTATATATGATATTGCTACTTATAATAAATTGAAAGAATATCACAGTAAAGGGAATAAACTGTACATCATCAAAGATTTTATTTTATTTCACCGTGAAGTTGTATGTATTTCAAGATGGTGAATGGAGATTGCTGTGAATCCGCTCATTTCAAGATGGTGAATGGAGATTGATGTGCTTCTCTTCCAACTTTTCCCATCCTTAAATATTGGGTTTAAACTTTTGGAGAAGTATTACTATAATCCATTAAAATCATAACCATCGCAACATAGAATGAATGATGATATAGAGGGAATGAATCTCACCATCTTGGTTGGAAAGTTTGACTGATATGACAGATCTTAGATTGGATGGTGTTGATCTTTCTGATGTTTCCTCTGCAAAACTTCCCAATTGGGCAAAATCCATTTCATCATGAAACAATCTCAGGCTACTTTCTCTCATAGACTACAAGATTTCAGGCGTAATCCCTGTAAATTCACTTCTGAGTCTCACTTCTCTCTTCCCTGGTACTGGGATTCAATTCGTTTGTTTCTCACATGCCTCCTCAGTTAGTCAATTTCAGCTCAGCTCTCTTCTTTTGTTTCTCATATGCCTACTCAGCTAGTCAATTTCAGCTCAGCTCTCTCTATTCCCTTGATCTTAGCAGTAATCAGTTAGAAAGACCATTGTTAGAAAAACCGCGTGATCTAACCCGTAACCGCCTAGTTAGAATGGAATCGGCCCCTTGCCGGTTGTTGTTTCGGGTGGTTTTGGTGATCGGCCGGTATTTGAATATAACATCCAAAAGATAAAGAATTTGACTTGTAATACATTTTTTTTTAATATTTTTGAAATTATGGTAAATATTAAAAATTTTGGTCATTAATACTCACTTTTAAAATCCATTTTTTCCATTAATTTTCAACTTTATTTGAATGCGTTTTGTTTTAATCATTATTTTTATGTTTTTCATATTTTAGTTTTTTTTTTTTTGCATCTTTTTTATTTTCTCAAACAATTTTTTGGCTGCCCGGGACTTGGCCAGTTAAAATAGTTGAATCGGCCGGTTTATAGGTAAGGCCGGTTAAACCTCTTCGGACCCACATCTAGTTAACCGTTCCGGTTCGATTTTGTGACCACTAAGAAGGACCCCTCCTTTACCTTCCACAAACTGCAAGAATATCAACTGCGGGCTAACAAAGGCTCTCATATCAATGTTCCTTACCTATTTAAACTTCCATATTCATGCAATGCTTATGGGGAGATCCCGAATTCCATCTTGAACCTCTCCTCTCTAGTCACACTCCAGATGTCTAATAACTCTATAGAAGGTTCCCTACCTCTCTCCATGGGAACCCCTACCAAGTTACAGCACTCGGACCACTCTTTAAATAACGTAATTGGTGAAGTCCTGTTTCGCTGTCTAACCTTAAAAATTTCAAATTCCTCTGCCTTTATCAGAACAGTTTAAATGGCCAAATCCCCAATTGGATCTGTCAAATGTCCCGTATTGAAGCTTTGTACCTCGCAGGAAACAATCTCAATGGGAGACTTTCTCATTGTGTCAATCAACTCCCAGGATTGCAATTTTTTGCAGTCAGCTACAGTAACCTCAATGATACAGTTCCATCTCTAATTTTCATGTTCCCAAAAGCCAAACCATATACAATTGATTTAAGCTCAAGTGGGTTAACTGTTGAAACAAACTCAGACCCATTTATCCCAAACTTTCAACGAGAGATGCTCTTACTACGCTTCTGCAATCTACGAGGGACGATCCCAAATTTCATCTCTAACCTAACCAAAATAGCAATGCTTGATCTTGGAAATAACAGCTTGACAGGAACGATACCTCCATGGCTATGGAAATTGCCAACTCTCCTATTTGGACCTCTCTCATAACCATCTCCAAGGAACTTTACCACCTTCTTTGAAACTGAATACCTATTGCACAACTACATGGTTAAGGCTTGCTAATAACAATCTACATGGCCCCCCTTCCTCTTCCCCCAAACACCATTGAAGAATTGGATTTGTCCCAAAACCAATTCACCTGGTTCAATCCCGACCCAAATGGGAGAAAGGTTGTCCAATGCTAAATATGTTTCCTTTTCGGGAAACAAACTCACAGGTCCAATTCCAACTTCTTTGTGCCAAGAGAATAACCCTATGATGAATCTGGACCTATCAAACAACACCCTTTCAGGAACCATTCCTGCCCAATTTGGAAATTGTAAATCGCTTCTCTCTCTAAACCTTGGAGTGAATCGTTTCATGGGTGTTTTACCAGACACCCTATGGGAAGCAATCAACCTGGGCTCTCTGCAATTAAACGACAACCAATTTGAAGGTTTCTTCCCTGATTTCATAGAAGGCCTCAAAGAATTAGAGTTTCTGAATCTGGGTAGCAACAAAATGGAAGGAAAGATCCTAGAGGTTGTTGGGAATCTCTCTAAGCATCATATTCTTGTTCTCAAGTCCAATTATTTTAATGGAAGCATCCCCAAAACGATAACCCAGTTGAAGAACCTCCAGTTCATGGATTTATCGCAGAACCAGATTGTGGGTTCCATTCCTCTGCAACTAAGTGGCTTTCCAGCTCTTCTTCAGAAGCAAATTAAAGGTTATCTTCTTGGTTACATAATAGAGTTAATGTATCTCAGCTTTGAACTAGAAATGGTGAGCAAAGGCTCAGAACTCCTGTTTTCCACAGTCCACTCCTACAATACTAAACTAGATTTATCCGAAAACCACTTAGAAGGAGAAATACCAAAAGAGATTGGGAATTTGCAGGGCCTATACATGCTAAACTTGAAATTTATATTATTGCAGGGCCAAAAATTGCATTGCAAGAGTTACACATGAATCTCTATCTTCCTCTTGTAACATTACAATTATGCATATATTAAAAACAGGAGAAACAATGTCCTACAAAATTTGATATCATAGCTCCTCATCTTGAAATGAGCGTTATATGGATTCACATCAATCTCCATTCCATCTTGAAACATATACAACTTCACGGTGAAACAAAAGAAATTTTTTGATGATTTTGCAGTTTATTCCCTTTCCCCTTTCCAGAGATCTTCTTTCAATCTATTATATGTAGCAATATCAGGTATAAAATCCATATCCAACATCTCATCAATAATACTTTCTCCTTCTTTGGCATTGCCTTCTCTAGAAAACCCATAAACCAGTATGTAAAATGTATCAGCATCTGGTTTTAGACCTTTTTTCGATGCTAAAACTCTAATTTTATTAGCATCCAAGGTCCTACCAATTTCACATAAAGCTTGCAAAATGCAATTATAAGTTATAATATCAGGAAGAATCCCATCTTTAAACATTCTCTCCATCAATAGATACCCATTATCCAAATCTCCTCTTTTTCTCAATCCTTCAAGAACAGTAGTACAAGAAACAACAGTAGGGAAATGGCCTTTAATCCATAATCTATCCATAATTTCTAAAGCTTTCCAAACTTTGGCTTCTTTACATAGAGCCTCAACAAGTTCTAAGCAATCTAGACTCTTTGGAATTGCTCGTTTTCTCAATAAATCAATGAGCAAATTACATCCATCATTTACTAGACCACCTCTGCATAACCCATTGAAGAGGACATGAAATGTAGCAATCGAAAGCTCGAAACCCAAATCGAGCATTTCATAGGCAACCCCAATTCCCTCTCTGATTTTCCCCTCTCTACAAAACCCACTAATTAAAGTATTGAAACTAACCACATTTGGGCTGCACCCACTCTCTCTCATCTCTCTAAACAACTCCACAGCAGACCCAGTTCGCAGATTCCTACAATAACTACTAATCAATATGTTAAAAGTATAAACATCTGGTTTTGCTTTCTCTCTCTTCATCTTGGAGTAGAATTCAATGGCGTCTTTGTGCCTATTCGATTTCACCAAACCGTTAAGCATAACATTATAGGAAAGAATTGATGGTCTTCCATCAATTACTCTCTTCATCTTATCAAAAGCCACTAAAGCGTCATCGATTCGACCGAATTTACAGTAAGAACTGATGCAAAAACTGAATATAGGTTCGATTTTTGGGCATGAAAAAATACCTTGTGAGCATGGACAAGGGTTAGAGACCATGGAATTCAGAACAGTTTGAAGTTCTGAGAATCGAGAGTTGATGGCTAGGGTTTTCGCCATCCATTCATAAGTTGCATGGTCATGATTGAACCATTCATAGGTTGAGGCCCAATTAAATACATGGAGGTCCAAATAGGTGAATTTGATGTGGTAATGGAGCTTTTTTTTCAGAAAATGGAGAAGATCTTCTGATTTGAATTGGGGTTTTAGGTGGAGTTTGATGAATTTGTGGAGTTGCTGCAGAGAAGAGGAAGAGAGAGAAAGTGTTGGGTAAATAGGAAAGATGAGTTCTGATGAATTTGTATTGTTGGGACTTGTTTTGAGATCGGATATGAAAGAATAGGAATGAGAAAAGTGACGGGTTTTGGGGGCTATTTTTTGGCAGAGGGTTGCAGGCGCAGGGGCCATCTTTGATTTTAGAGAGAGAACATGAGTTGACTCGTGAGAGAGAGAGAGAGAGAGAGACAGCACGTTGATTATTGATTTGAGAGAAGGGAGAGCACGTTGATTATTGTCCGTAGAGAAAAAAGGGGAAGGTTTCTACCCCTACAGCATAGCATAGAAGATCCTACCATCCACCGCTCTAATTTTAATCAAGGGAGCCACTCACCCACCGTTTGATTTTAGATTCGACGTCTCAAAATATTTTATTTTTTATTTTTTTATATAAATTATATGAATATAATATTTGATACGTGCTATATTCTCATTAGGGAGCACTTGTAAAAAATATTAAAAATAAATTTTTGATAAAATATAATAACTCTTGAAATTTTTGAGGTATTTTAATCATTTTATTTTATTAAAAATATTGTTTTTATAGCGAGTTGTTTAATAGAGGATTGGATGTATAAAATTTGGTGTTAAAATAATTTGTAGAAAAAAAATTAAAAATAAAATAGTATAGAAACATGACATCATGATTGGGGCAATCTTAGCCCTCCATTCAAAATGGATGGTTGGATAAGAGGAAGTATATAAGTTTTATGTTGTAAGGAAAACATAGAAAGCTTGCTCGAGAAAGAATATTTGTTTTCGCTATAGGAAAAAATTGAACGGGGCATGGGCCGAAAGGAGTTCAATCGGTCTAACCGGTGAATTGTTCGGTTCAACGATCTAACTAGACAAGGGAGTTAAAAAAATAAAAAACAAGTTTAATAAAATATGAAAAATATATTTAAAAAAAGCTATCTAAATGTAAATGTAGTTGAAAATTAATAGAAAAAATAGATTTGTGTTTGGAGATATTTTTTAAATTTTTTGAAAAAAAATTATAAAAAAAAATATTAATAGCCAAAGCAATTTCTGATTTTTATCAAAATGATGAAAAATGTTTAAAAAATTTATTACTAGCAAAATCCCTTACCCTCATTTTTTGACATTTTATATAATTTTTTAATTTTTTTAATAATACCTATCAGTTCACCAAAACTGGCTGAAATCAAAACACGCCAATAATCAGTTCTGATCTAATCGTGCGGTTAGATTTTGAACCGCCACGCCAATAATCAGTTCCGATCTAATCGTGCGGTTAGATTTTGAACCACGCGATTTTTCGGAGTTTTGGTAGGTTTTCAAAAGGTACTTTTAAAACTGAGAATGTTCTAATTTGCATCGTTCTAGAATATGTGGAGCATATTCATGTTGTGCATGGTAGAACCAGTGTTTGAAAACCCACCGAGTTAAGCCGGACTCGCCCGGTTCGACTTGGGAATCGTCGTCTACCGAGCCGATTCTATGAGTTAAGCCGGACTCACCCGATTCGACTAGAGAATCGTCATCTACCGAGCCGGTTCCACGAAAAAATTGGGAATCGCCCGTGTCTAGAGAGAACCGGGCGATTCCTAATAGTAAATCGCGAGTCTCATCGAAAATTTTTACGGTTCCCAATAGTAAATCGCGAGTCTCACCAAAAATTTTTGATTCCCAATAGTAAATCGGGAGTCATAAATCGCGAGTTTCACCGATTTTTTTTTTATTCCCAATAGTAAATCAAGAGTCTCATCGAAAATTTTTATTCCCAATAGTAAATCAAGAGTCTCATTGAAAAATTTTAGGCTCACACGTGGCCCCCTCATGAGAGGCAATTCACCTCGCTCGTATGACCCTTTCGCTTTTCTACATGCGTGCTTGAATGACTAGTACACAGTACTTTATAGAGAACAAATGGTCTCTCATCCTTTGATGTGGGATAATTCCCACAAAAAGCCATTCAAGCATGATGATTCAATATGTATTATATTATAGTTGCTAATGAAACACATCAAGAGATGTGGTGGTGTTGGTTGACAACCTTGAATTTTTGAGCGGGTGTCTTGAGTTCGAATCCCGATCTTTGTTCTTCATAAGATAAAGATAAAAAATAAAAAGCTTTTCAAGATAATAAATAAAAAACTTGAAATAAAATAGAAAAAATAAAAAGCTTTTCTTGTTGTAAAAAAAAGTTAAAAAACTTAAAAAATAAAAAGCTTTTCAAGATAAAGATAAAAAATATAGTACAACATTTTTTTATTTTTCTTTTAAAAAAAATACAAGGTAATATAAAAAGTATTTCTTGCAAAAAAAATCAAACAAAAGGCATAAAAAAAATTTTGACAACAAAAATAAACAAAGGCAGAAAATATTGTTGTAAAAAATTAGAAAAAATAAAAAATAAAAGGCTTTTCAAGATAAAGATAAAAAATATAATACAACATTTTTTTATTTTTCTTGTAAAAAAAATACAAGGTAATATAACAAGTATTTCTTGTAAAAAAATAAAACAAAAGGCATAAAAACATAAAATGTACTTTGGCAGCATCAGATTTTTTTTTTTTCTTGTAAAAAAAGATAAAAAGTAATACAACAAGCAAAAAAAAAAGTAGTACAACGTATTCTTCTTTTGTCAAAAAAGAAGAAGAAGATAATCAACAAGTATCATATTTTTCTTGTAAAAAAAAATAAAAGATAACACAATAAGTATTTCTTGTCAAAAAAATAAAAGGTATTTCTTAATACAACCTAAGAATAAATGGTCTAATTATATTTTTTATTTTTATAACATGATGGTCTTTAACATAAATTTAGTAATATTAATTTAAAGATAGGAATCATACAATGAGGCCATTTGAAATCTCTCTTTCTGCTAACAATCTTTTCTACTAATTTATTGTAGAAACCTAAAAAATTAAAGAAAATTGGTACACATTCTAATAATTTCTATATTGATAACCAAATTTTTTATTTTATTTATTAATTTTTGTATTATAAATCATGTAGTATACTATTTTTCTTACAGTTGTCAATAATACATTTTAAATT